AAAAAAAAAAAAAAAAAAACATGTCAGACCTTGTACTTCACTTGTGGTGGGGGAACTGCTTGACGGCAAGGCACGTTCCTTGCATATGCGGCGTTGGCTGCGTAGCCATTTGTGCATGTCCACAACGCACAAGTCCTGGCGGCAGTAGTCAGACCATCGGAGCGGACAGCGTTGCGGAAAGCATGCCGCTGCACCCCACACGATGACAATGATTCTTAGCTTCAGGCTTGTCGCAGCAAGCTGCGTCACTACTTCCTTTTCTCTTGTGATGGTCAGGCTTCGGGGCCCAACCGCGACCTGCAAAACAGAAACCCCATTGTGCTGTGCAGGCTGGCTGCACTTGCTTTCTTCAGACATTGCATGGGTTCAAGTTGCTGAGTTCGGGACCACATATATGGGTCTGGCACGAGCTTTCTTCCTCACATGGTGATGAATCTGGACTCAATCGTTCGACCCTTTCGCCAACATGCGGCATCATCTTACAATCTTACAACACTCTTGCAACATTTTTCTCGTCTTGAGGATCAAAAATTCATTGCAACTTCAGCTGCTGTAAAGCTGTGCCCTGCTACCTGAACACCTTGGAAGTTGCAGGAGCCTTTGCTGCAAAGAGGGTTCTTCATGGCGTCACAGAGAGAAACGCTTTTGTCTTTCAGTCCGTTAGAACGGATGTCACGGCTGCAAACGTTTAGCCAGGGAGAGTTAGCAGTAGGACATGCAGCATGGAACAAACACAGCACCCCAGCAAGGACCAGTACTTCAGTCGTCACAGCATCCAGACTTGGCCTGTTACAGTTTACCATTTGCTTGGCAAGATGCTTCCAGAGCTTGACCTGGTGCGCGAGCACTGTGACCAGAGCCAACTTAACAACACCCGCTGAAGTTGAGCCACTTAAGTTGTTGCCGGAATCATGGCGAATCTTCCATGCCACAGGCGCGCTCCAAGCCTGCAAACTGCAAGCAGCTCATGCTCAGCAATCCTAACGTGAGACTTACATTGCCTGCCAGGCGGTGCTCATGCCACAAATGCAACCAAAGCCACTGCGCAAAGCACCAACCACTGTGAACGCCATGTTGCAACCAGCTTCCTCAGCATCAGTAGATTTGCATGGCGACCAGCTGAGGCAAGTAGCAAGCTCGGAGATTCATTTTACAAACCAGGCAGCATTAAGAATTATAGGCTCAACTCGGCTGCGGCGGGGCTGCTCATCGATTTGAGCCCGCCCCGACTGCACGCCCAGCAAGGGTTTGCGCACAGCAGGTAATCTTTACAGCTTGGCATCGCAGCTGTGCATCCCATCTTTTTCGAGGACACTTCACGCAAGAACTTGCAGTATCAAAACCTTTTTATTTTCCCCAGGCCGAGCGATCCCCGTCTCCAGCAGCTGCCACGTGAGCTTCATTTCATTGCATGTTGCAACGCAGCTCCCGTGCTGGAGGCTACGCGCGTCCTTTTGGAACGATTAGCCAGGGGATGCAAAGGTAAGTCAACCAAGGTGAAACATAAGGGCCGCCTTTATCAACGAGCACACAATCATGTATCCCAAATTACATCTTCTTGTGAGTCATCCAGCACCATGTTGGGCAAGTTTGACTCGTGGAGTATGTTAAACAAATCCCTGTCCAGCTGCGCTGATTCGCATAACGAAATTTCCTGCACTGAGCAACTCTCGTCAAGATTCACAAGTCCACTCTTAATCTCTGCTACATTTGCTGCTGCGATCTGGCCCCTAATGGATGGAGCGGACAAGTCTAGCACTGTCGAATCCTTCACGCATAAATGGCCAATGTGTGGAGTGGCATTGAAAATTGTCTCCCTCATCATGTCCAGCTGTTTCTGTGTTGCCAACAGCTTGTCACAATGCATTGGCTGTCCAGCACGTTGACCTCGAGGTGGCTTTGACCCTGGTAACAAGATCTTGCGCTGAACCAATACGCCCTGCTGGTATAAGTGCTGCTCTTTCTGGCTTCTGGATCCAAAGTACATCCCTGCTCCGTGTCGCCTCCCTGCGGCCCAGCCGCCATGGTACTCTGAGCCATCAGTATGGTAGTACACTCCAGGTCCGCTACATTGACCTTTCCACCAGACTCCTTCGTACTCATCGCCGTTGGCATAGACTTGCTTTCCGAAGCCATGTCTCAAGCCTGCTTCCCATCTTCCGTCGTACTTGCTGGTCTCTGATTGGTAAATGCCCTGACCGTGCTTGGACCCGTGATCCCATTGGCCATCGTAGGACGACTGGTCCCCCCAGACCTGCAAACCATGCTTGTGCTTCTTGTCATGGAGGAACTGTCCGTGGTACGTGCTGCCAGAATGATTCTCAATCAGAACGCCGCAGCCATTCCTAACCTTCATCTTGAACGTACCTTCATAGAAACCCGACTCATCCTCAAACTCTTCATGCGAGAATCCAAAATCCTTGCGTCCGAGATCAGATGCCAGCTCCCGGTTCTTCTGGCGGCTAACTCCAGCAACGAAAGTTTGGGCAGCGGCAAAAGCGCTTCCCGAGTACACCGTGCGACGTGTCTCATCCATGGCAAGACTAGAGCTAGATGAGCAGGGATCTCTGGTCTGAGGACACCATGGTTTGCGAGCCAATGGGCTGTGTGGCTATGACAGCTGTTTGATACCGTTTGATACTAGAGCTTGACTATCTGCATGCTTGACCTGACAAAGGCGGAAATGTGTGAACACCTCACCTCAACATACTCAAAAGGAAGAGCATGATCACAAGCATGGGGCGTCATAGCTGTTGGTATCACACGGCCACTTTTGCTGCGCCAGGTCTGGATATTGTTCACGGATCATGCCCCAAACAGCATCTGCTCTACTTCTTGGTCGCTAATGTCTGGATGGTTTTGCAGCATTTCGAGGTCTTCATCGGACCAAGGTGATATGAGACGAAGCTCGGCATCACAATACTGCAGGTATAAGACCCGATCAGAACAGCCTGGATAGTTTGAAACCTCCTTGACCCGCCTGAGGAGGCCCACCAGCCTGCCCACCAAGGCTTCCGTTTCCTCTGCAAGGCCAGGCCTGTCCAGTTTCAGGTCGTCCTGTGTGAGTTCTTGCAAGTCCACGATGAAACCTTTGTCAACGATGGCGCGTGCTAGCATGCCTATGTTGCCGAGCTGCATCTCGGCAAGCTTGGAGCCTAGGGTAGCGCCCCAGACTTCACCAGCATCGCGTTCGTTGGCGGTTGAGCACTCTACGCCCATCCCAGGGTTCGGCATGGCTTCATCGTCGATTCGCGGCATTGTGCATGCAATCGGCACTCGGACAACAAGCTTCAAATCTCCTACCTTGTAATCAAGAAGCCTGTAATGCACAGGATCATCCAATTCCCGAACCGAATGCGGGCCAGAGACTGTGTCTCTGCCTGACACCACCTGCTCGAAATTTACATCATAAGACCGCTTGTTGAAATTTGCGCTACCTGCAGCGGCATTTTCGGGCACCCAGTTCCACACGGTACCAATGAAAATCGTTCCTGGGGCATCAGGCAACCGTCCAACTCTGCAAAGGTCGATGCGCTCGGCTTGACTTCCTCGCCGGTTGTTCAGGCCTTTGGAGCGCATGTCCTCTGTCAACGTCCCGTCGACAAATGCTAACAAGGTTCTTAACGCATGGAAACTTATCACCACGTCAGCGCTCTGAAGTGTAAATCCCTCTCCACCAAACTTGGAAACTTCATCAAGCATATCAGCAGTGAAGGACCGACCAAAACCTTGATCAACTTCAGGTGCATCTTTCAAACCCTTGGCAAGTTGAATATTTGGGGGAGGTTGTCGGTAATCTGGTGCATCAAAAGCATCGGCGGAACCATTCGGGTGGATTGTGTACCGCGCTACTTCCCGAAGGTTCGTAATCTTGGCAGACGGATCCCCAAGTAGTTCCTCTGCATTGAACCACTCGAACACGTCGATGTCATTGTCAATCTCCAAGTCCTCTTGCCAATACCCGCTCATCAGCTTTTTTGGCCCGAACCTCTTTGGTTGCGACTTCCCCTTCTTGGCTTTTAGTTTGGCAAACTGGCTGGTGCACGAAGCGCGTGAAGATGCTGTCTTTGCACCAATGAGAATACAGCATGCTGACATTATCCTCTGTATCCGCTTCTGGCCGCCCGGCCGCGCATCTTGACTACTTGTCCAAGCACGTGGACTTGTTGCTAGCAAGCTGTTGGGTACAGCAGCGCGAGGAAGGGCTGCTAATGCCATGGCTCAGAAAATCATTTGGAAGGGGGCACTGTGGAGAGGAAGCCCAGCGCGACATGCATGCAACCATGTGACTAGACTCATCAACCCTGTCTGCTGCGGGAGCGGGAAAACTGACAAACACTCAATGGGCCTTCCCGTGTCGTACGCCGGGAGCCCGACGCTCCGGAACACATCTTGGACACCGGCGCGCAGATTCAAAACATTACACATTCGCCCTTGTGTGCATTACATGATGGCTGTGTGCCGAAAAGCCGTATTCTTGCTGCTCCCTTCGGTTACATACCCTTTGCAAGACCAGCATGACATACCTTTAGTCACGTTCATATGCAAGTGTCTCACCATACAGTACTGTTTGGGGAAGTCTGTCGCAGAACCACTTCTCTGCTACATATCCGAGTTTGCCGGGCATTCAACGGGCGTGGGCCTCGATCCTTACTACAAGCCCACCGACTTTTGGCCTTGGCACCCTGCCAATCATACTGATCAAACCGGCCACGTGCTGAGCTCAGAGTTGCCATGCCCCATTCCACCCGCCTCAATTTGTTCCCCTCTGCATCTTGTATTCTTGCTGCAAACACATGGACGGAAAACAACTTCGCATTTGTTTCATGTGAAGACGTTCCGTGCGACAGCACGAGTCTGAGCCCCTAGCGGGGGGCGCCCCACACAATAGCAGAATTTAAAATGAGAAGAGGCTCCAAGCCAGAGCACAGCACCACGCCCAAAAGGTTAAGACGCTCGGAGGGCGCGTTGTTTCAAGCAAAATGCAAGGATGCGAGGGGCTAGAGCGCGACGCTTAGCTGAAATGCGAGGGTGCCCACATGTTGCAAGCCAACATGCGCGGATGCCCCACGCCAGGGCTGGATTTAAAGCTCGGACGCCCCATGCAAAAACGTTGTTTGTAGACAACATACGAGCATGCTTCACGCGATTTCACGCTAAAATGCGCATGCTGATCCAACACGCGAAAATATTGCGCAAACGTTCCGCACGAGAGTGTGGCTAAGAGATGCTTAGAGCACATGCGACGCTGCTCCACAGGAGAGCACGGTTTGCAGCTGAAGTGCAGAGAGCCACAGGGCAGAACAATCTGTGCTCCTGATTAATAAAACAACACTTTGGAGAAAAACTGGGGCCCAATTTGGGGGTCAAAGACTACTTTAAAGGCTGATGCCTGTTTTGGACCAAAACCCCGTACCTAGGCTTAACGAAAATTATCTCCAAACCTTAAGAAAATTAGGGCTCCAGGTAAGTTTTATCCAGGCTTTGAAGCTCATATTTACAAACTAAATTTGGGCCCTATACTCTAATCTAATCTAAAACCTTTTCTATAACTCTAGGAAAATGTTAGTAGGGACTTACTCATACTTGACCTCAAAAAGGGTCGCGCAAACAGGACTTGCGTCAGGAATTTTAGGCCCAAACATTGTTTTCTTTGACCATTTTCCAGTAGCAGCCGTGCCTGCTTGAAGGGGCTGCATCCAAAAATTGAATGGCATAGAGGGTCCCGCAAACAGGACTTGCTTACTAAACTTCATTGGGACTTTCAGGGACAGACGTTGCTTCCTGAGTTACCTCTTACGGGTGCTGGTGCGTGGATGAATAGGAAAACCCCCAGAATAGCAGAAGCAATCCTGACCATTTTAATCAGATGTCAAGGGATTTTACTTAGATTTTTTATTTGTTTTTAATTGGAGTCCAATCAAATTTCATTGGACTTTACTTAAAGTTAAACTATTCAAATTGATTTTACTTGGAGTCCAATCAGATTTGAACTCATTAGATTTGTATTGGATCTACTTGGTGTCCAATCAGATTTCAACGGATTTTAACAAGGTTTCTATTCATCTTGACTTGGAATCTGTAATCAAATGTTAATGGGTTTTGCTTTGATTTCTATTGAATTTACTTCGAGCCCAAGCCGCTTTCAATGGATTTTAGCTGGGTTTTTGTTGAACTTACTTGGAAGCTATTCATATTTCCATCGAACTCATTTGGCTTTCTATTCATGTTACTTCGAATCCAATCACATGTAAAATGAATCTTATTCACATTTCCACTGAATTTCATTGGGGTCCAATCAGATTTCAATGGATTTCGCTCAGATTGGATTCCAATTAGCAGCAACAGACATCTAAATTAAAAAGCCCTTGAAATCTTATGGGCCTCCAAGTGAATACAATATCAATCTACGTAATTTAGACCATGGAATCTGATTGGACTTGAAGTGAGATCAGTAGAAATCTAAGTAAAACCATTTACATTCCATTGACATTGGAATGGTTTCCAACTGAGATCAAAGGAAATCTCGTTAAGTTAAATCTCTATTCATCTTAGTTGGAAACCGTTGAGATTTCAAGCGATTCATTTCGATTTCTATCATTTCACTTGGCATCCGATCAGATCTAAATGGCATTTACTTGGATTTTTGTTGAAGTTACTTGGCCTCCACTCAGATTTCAATGGAACTTTTTGTGATTTTTATTCACTTCGCTTGGAATCCAATTACATGTAAATGGATATTTCCGCAAATAACGTGGGCAACACGGGATGTTGGGGTTAGGGGGTTGCTCCGGGGTTTGCTTCGGGGCTTGCCTCGAGTTATGTTGCCAAGCAGATCTATCTGACCATGGCCGACGAGCTGAAATGTTCAACGTAAAGTGAGATGAACAAAGACTGAAGCTAGGCCCTGTCAACACAAGATGTTGAAAGCGCATAACATCACCATAGGCCCACACCTGGGCAGCGCCACGCCCCACTCGGAGCCTAATTAGCTCAAGCTAATGTTGGACCCTCTTATGCATGGGGACCCGGTTTAATGTCAAGTTCCGGGGCTAATTCAGGATCCGTGGGTATGTTTAGGGACCCGCTTTAATGTCAAGTTTTGGGGGCAAAATTCCTAATTTTAGATCTCAAAAGTTTAAATAGTTATTTAAAAATAGTCATCATTTGCTTATTCTTCATCAAATAAGTCAGAGCTTAAGGGCCTCAAG